AAAATGCAAGCCATAAATAACTACATCAGTGTGACTAATTTAAACTTTTAAAGACAAAGTAAAAATAAGATTGATAATTAAAATTTGATAGATTGAGAGAATTAGAACAAAAAATTATGGTAAAATACACGAGTAATAAAATGAACACAAATTGTTATAGTATTAAATTTATCTAAAAAGAAATGACCATAAGAAGTTTCTTAACTCGCCCGGCACCGTGATTATGATAGGTATAAAAGAGCAACGTCCTGCTCATAACAGACGCTGAATGAAAGAGTATCTCTAAATAGAAAGGGTCGCCAAACCAAAGATCCATAATTCACCAGATTCAAGTAGAGACATTTAGAGTCAACCCGACATGAAACTCCTTAAGACATAGAGCCCCATAGGCTGGCCAGGCTTGTGGGCAATAAATATAATTATGATGAGATGCGTGAACATGAAATTTCAGTAGAGAAATGAATGGCAGATCACGAACATTACAGTTACACTGAATTGCAGATTCATTAACATTGTATGAGAATATGATGGGTGAGAAGAACCGCCAGGTTACTGACTAGTGACTCGGTGCCAGAAAAATTTTCAGTACTCAGATAGACTGTAAGCAGTGCAACTCTTGGTCAGTGCCCAGGAATGAGCTAAATTAAGACACTCCTGCCGTTGTTGACAGTCTGACAATAGAGATATGAGCTACTTTTGACTAAGTAGAGATGATATGACACGATGATGATGGGCATTGATGATATGATGGCCATCCTCGACGGCTCGACCGCGCCCATAGCCGCACCTTTTTTCTAGGCGTGGTTACAGTTGCGTGCGCAACTGCGCATGCGCACATGGTACCAGCTGCGTAAACGCGGCAGCTGCAAAACGGAGAAGAAGAAGACAAAGAGTTGGTACATTCATCCACAGATTACTCCATTCAGCTGTGATATGAGTCGACCGAAGAGATATGAAAGTCAGGGACTATGGTTTACTTAATAAAGTTTTTAATTTTTTTTGTTTTATAGGTGTTTGTTATATAGTCAAATATGTAGATGACGGTGTGTTATTAGCATGAAGAATGAAGATGAACTGGAATTTCTGGAAATCCCTTGTGATGGACGCACGTCATTTTTATTGGGGGACAAAATAAATACAGAGTGGGATGATGGGGAAATGTATGAAGCTGAAATAGTAGATGTTGGACGTAAGCTGATTGCCTGCTATGATGTTGGATGTCATTCATGCAGATGCTGCATGCTTAGCTACCTTTATTTTTAGTGTGCAATTTAAAAGTTGAATCCTTGTATTATTTGGCTTATTTAAGTGACGTAAATGCATGTGATTTAATATTTTTGTCTGAGCATGCAAGTACTAGATATAAATGACTTACTTTAACTTTAATTTAATAGCAAAGTCTATACTACAGGGCCGAATGCGTCAGCACAGGCAAAAAAATGATCAAGGAAAAAAGTAAGTTTTATAATTTATTGTGTTTATGTTGGTATAATAGTTGAATCCATCATTGAATGAAATTGATTATTAATTTTATTTTTGTGATTTGCGAATGATGTTTAGGTCTTACACATTCTACTGTTAATTTTGTATTTATATAGGAAGTCAGACTTAGCTCATGAAAGGAAGAAGAAGCAGGCAGCAGATATCAGTTAGCAATAATTTTAGCCTAAATATTTAGCTACTATTTCTATAGTTGATTCTATTATAGATAAAAATGATTCTATTGAAGATATATTCTCACAAACAACTGCGAAAGACTACGACATTTTCCCTGATTCCCCCAATCCAGCTGAGCATAACATATGTAAGCATTTCAATATGATTATTATTATTTATTAATTTTGTAGCTATTACTGCTGAAAATAATGGCGAAACATCTACACCTAAAGGTTCACAGCCTGGTAATGATCCTTTTTATTTTAAACTAATAATTAAATAATTATTCTTATTTTTAGAGACGCAAAAACTTGATAGCAGTGTTGAATTTGAAACTCCACCAAGTTAGCTAACTTAAACAATTTAAACTTTATCATCTAGTTCTATTTTTAGAAAAAATGCGTATATTAAGTGACGAACAAGAATTAGAAAAAGTACATAAGAGATAAAAATAATAAATTATTTCATCTAACACTATTTATTTACAAGTGGATAGAAAAATATAGAAAATTGAAGACAAAGTATCGAGAACTAAAAAAGAAAAGAATGGCGACTGATACAAGTATTGAAGGTGTGGATAGAATTTTAATGCACAAATATAATATTACTTATTATTATCACAGAGAAACCAAAACCAGGTCTTGTGAAAAAAGAAATAGCAGAACAATTTGAAGTTTGTTACATAACTTACATTATGTAATACTGCCTATAACTACTTTTTGCATGCACATAATAGATGATTGAAATAATTCCCTCATCAAAAGTGTACTGGACTGAAGTGCATAAGCAATTAGTACTCAGTAAAACTAGCTCAGCTAGTCAGCTAGCAAATGCTTGTGTTGATGTGTTTTTTGATAAAAATATATTATCTTTAAGTAACACAAAAGGAGGAGGAACAGGGAAGTACAAGCCCCTCAATGAAGATATTCTTAATGGAATAAGAGGTACCTGCAAATTAATGAAATTTAATGATTTAAGTATGAGTTTTTCTAGCATTTGTTCAAAAGAATTATCCTGGAACAAAGCTTTCTGTTATCAACACCGTCATTAATAATAAGTGCACATCTGCAAGACGTTGTATCAGGTAATTATTTTTTTCTCTTGTTTTTAAGCATTTTGTCTTAATACAGCTCTAAAGAGAATAAGGACACTGAATAAAAAAGAAAAAAAGATTATATAAGTTGATAATATACTGAAAGACATTACTATTAGGATATTTTTTATAGTTAATTTTTTAAATTAAATTTATATTGAAAATATATTTGTACTATAATCATTACAGTACAGGCATAGATTTAGTATAATATGTAAAAAATATAATTGACATAGAAGAAACAGCGTATTTGCATATGTATTAAAACTAGCATTTAAACATATGTAAACTATATGCTATGTAAAACATGTTTCACATAGTCCGAAATACAGCTACTTTTCATATGTATGCATAAAGTATGCAAAAATATATTTCTAATATATATGAAACATATATTTTAATTTTACCTGGGTATATTCACTTTCTATATTACTTTACAGCAATTATGTACATGTGCTTACACTATGGCAGCAATCAATGAATAAACTGTTTCCTCACTTGTTGCATGCAGTTGTCTCCAGTTTTATTTAAGTTGGTTCCTCTAGTGAAAGCAGACCCATGGGACCAGTACTGGTCTGATGATTTATTGTCTATCTCAACACAGTCTCCTAGCACTTTCTTTACTTCAATACCAACAGGACCAGTACCCTCTAGACCAAAATGCTGGAGATATCTGTAAATGAGGAAAAATAGTAAAAATACAATTAATAATCAATTCCCTTCCCTCTCCATTGTCTCATTATTTCCAATCAATCCCTTTGAAGCTAAAATAAATAATTAATGGGGTATTGTTTATTAACAAGTTAACATGTAGTGTTATTG